ATCCTCTTAGTCCAAGACCAATAAAACAAATGGCAGCTCATATTGGAGAGGCTTTGGGGTAAATGGAACACTTATTCATTGCTGGTGTGACTGAAAACTTAGATAGCCACTATGAAAATCTACGTGGCAGTTCATCATGAAGATGAGAATCAATCTACTTCAAGATTCAGCTACACCACTCTTGGCCATATACCCAAAGGATATGTCATCTAACTTCAGAAACAATTGCTCAGTCATGTTCATTGTTGCTCTATTCATAATGGCCAGAAATTAGAAATAATTTAGATGTCCCTCAACAGAAGAAATGAATGGAGAAAAATACATTGTACATTTACACAACGGGATATTAAACAGCCATTAAAAATGATATCATAAAAACTAAGGAGCCATCTGAGGAGTACTAGTAAAACAACAGAGTAGCAGTTCCTAAAATATACACATACAGGAAGGTAATCTAAATGAAATTGACAAATAATGCAGGAGACAGACTCCCAGCTGGACATCTCTTATAAAAATGAAGTTTTTAGCACTGGGTGGGTTACATCTAATTAATTAAGTTGTAGGCCAAAAGGTCCCATGCAACTCAGGCTATTCCCAAGGCTCTCCATAAAATGACGACAAGGCTCAATTACTGAAGTCAACACCTACATAACTCGTTGAACATGGAGAAATTGAGCTGGTGCTTACCTAGAAGCAGAGGGATAGTATTACAAAATAACTCCTATTGGAGTCCCATTTCCTATGAAATGAGAAACAGGATTTGGTTATGCCCACAAACAGAACCTTAACTTTTTATAGGTCTGCCCCTGATAATAAATATTTGACTCAAGGAGAAAGATTGATTCTGTTGGGAAGAAATTAATAAAATGATACTGTATAGTTTATCTGATTTCTTCTGTACTGTAGCTGTCCATTTGCTTCTCCTATGAAATTTTGTGCAATACCAAGATAATAGAACATATCATTATTATCCATGAGTTACAATAGTTTAGATATTGATGTCCTAGAATTAAATCTAGCCATTAAACTGATGCTTCTAAAATCAAACTGGCCAGAAGAAACAAACAACTTCAAGCAGTCTTCAAACATCACACAAAAGGCCACATGAAGTAGGAAGGATTGTAATAAAGGGGTCCACACATATCTAGTTAAGGAATATGATGAGATTGGTAGAAGATATTTTGTTTGGTTAAGATGCCTTCATACCTACATCTACTACAGTTACTTCATTAGGCCTGATTACTTTCTTAATTATTTAATTTAAAATATAATACTTCTATTATGTGTCATATAAATAGTATGTTAGATATAGAGAACAAAAGAGAAAAAAGAGATCAGGCTCATAATGAGTAACAACTTTGTTAAGACCCAGAAATAATTTTCTTGAAAGCTCCAACAACCATTCATCTCTTCTGAAGCCTGTTGTACAGCCAACTACTTAGTTATATGTCGATCAGATCCTAGGCATGAACCTTCCTAGTTACTAGGGACACTATATTATAATATATAATAAATAATATGTGCCCTCCAGTATACACAAAATGTGATGCTTATCCAGCATGGCAAACTGTGAATGAGAATTCTGAGGAAAAAGCATTGCCTGCTAAAACTGGCTGAGTGATTAGAACTTCAGTAATGTGAAGAGATTGAAATGTATTAATCTTAAAATCAGTATATCTTAGGACATCATTAGGGTCCTTAACAGCCTTCAATTACTGCCCTTTGTACATGATCTAACATCTTTTGTGATCATTATTTATTTCCTTAGCAATGTATAAGCAAACTTCTAGTCTCTGCTAGTCAAAGTGCTATCAGAGAAAATCTAAATCGTTTTTCTGTTACCTGACTTCCCAAAGCACCCAGCAATATATTTGAAAGTGTGCTATTTATTTCTTTTTTCTGCAGTAAGATAAATATAAGAAGTTCATGAAATTGTTACCTTATTTAAATATGGTGTATGTGAAGACCTACATCCATGTTCAGAGACCACTCATATTTGTCTCCAGAATAAACCATTTTTTATTCCTTTACATTGAAAGTTATTTCTCTCTTTTACATGAACATAAACACCAATCCCTAAATACGTGTATTTTCAGGGTAAGTACTATGATGTGGCTTATAGCAGTTTTTCTGTTTTTTCTTTTTTTAAGTACCATTTATAAGTCTCTATTGCTGAAGAAAACACTTACTTATGAGAAAATTCAGTTAACATTCAGGGTTCTATATGAAAAAGAGGTATATTATTATGAGTCAGAGATTATGGACGACTCCAAAGAAATAGTATTCTCCAGGCACAATAAGGATGTGCATATGGACCCATAGGATTATGATAGCATGCATAGGACCTAAGCAGGATCAAGCCAGATGGAGCCTCAGCACTGAGAACGAGAAGTGGACACATGGTCTCACCCCTAACCAAGTATTTACAAATGATACACACTGACAAAGTAAAATCAATTTTCTTCAATTCCAATGGAAGGTTTATCAACCACTTCAGAGCAGGTTTCATGCCCAGGAGCAGTTGGTTATCACAAAACAAACCCCAAGGATCACCAGTACTTTCATCAGCTTGACTTCATGTTCCTGGAATATTTATTTCTTTGAGTGAAATTAACTTTGTGGTATGGTCATGGGACCCCAAAGTTGACTTAAGAAGGATGAGAAATATGAGACTGACATGTGGGGAAAAGACAAATTACACGTGAAATTGTGACTTTATATTTCTATACAGATGCAACTCAAGATGGAAAAACAAACTTAAGAACCAGATGGGTTGAAGAGTTTGCATGAGAAATTCAGTCACAAGTTGTTATTGCTTTGGGACATCCTTACACCATGTGGTGATTTGAATAGATATGGTCCCTTATAAACTTTTGTGTTTGAATGCATGGCCCATAGGGGGTGGCACTATTAGGAGGATTGGTCTGTTGGAGTAGATGTGGTTTTGTTGGAGGAAGTATGTCACTGTGGAGGTGGACTGTGATGTCTGGTATATGCTCAAGTGTGTCCAGTGAAACAATCTCCTTCCTGCCTGCAGATCAAAATGTAGAACTCTCAGTTTATTCTCTAGTACCATGTCTGCTTGGATATCACCATGTCCTGTCATGATGACAATAGACTAAACCTCTGACACTGTAAGCCAGACCCAATTAAATGTTCTGCTTTATAAAAGTTGCTGCAGTCATGGTGTCCCTTCATGGCAACAGGAACCCTAACTGAGATATACCAGGAAATTAAAAAGACCCTATTAGTGGAGTTTTTAGTGAAAGAGCCTGGGACCTTGAAGCTCTTAACAAGCCAGGCTCAGCAATTCATCCTCAATAGGCCAATTAAACAAGCAAAGAATAACAAAATGCATGAAGGGAATTTATTCAGTGATACCACATTGGGAAGAAAAACAAGGAGATCCAGTTCATAGCCCCACAGGTCCATCTTTATGTTCCTAACATGAGTTTTGGGTTTGTACAGCAGACCACAGATTGAAGATTGAAGATGAGATTCCTGGAAAATTCCAACAGCATGTTGTCTATTCCTTTAATAGTCTGATAGCCAAAAAAAGGTGAAAATGTCCTTTCTATGGAAGGAATTACCAGCTTAAGGTGGATGTTAAAGTGACTGGGAAATGTGCTGTCTTTATACTGCCTGATATTTAGAGTTTTTATGAAAAATCATATCTCAAATAAAATTGTTAAGGGGAAGTCAGACAGTGGTTGTGCTTGCTTTTAATCTCAGCACTCTCGAGGCAGATGCAGGCTCTGTGAGTTCAAGGCTAGCCTGGTTCACAAAGAGAGTTCCAGGACAGCCAGGGAAGAGAAACCCTGTGTTGAAAACAAAACAAAACAAAACAAAACAAAATGTTAAGGGAATGTTAGTTTGATTTTAGGGTTTTAATAACTTTATTTGGCATGCATTAAAGAATTACTTTAGCATTTGTAGGGTGTGAGTTTGCCTCACTTTGTGTCTCCAACCAGCATGTGGAAGTCTTTCTAAAGTGAGAGAAATTATATGAAGAAGATGAAAGAAGAATAAATCAGAAGTAAAAAAAAAGGAGGAGGAGAATTAAACAGATGAAAAAGGGCAACAGTAACAATAACAGCAGTGGTGCTGCACAAACATTTATGATTACTTAATAATACAAGCCTTTTGAGTTGAAGTAGAAACTATTTAGTTTTCATTAAAACTATCAGGCATGTTGGAGGTGTAGCTTAGTTGGTAGAATATTTTTATATTGCTATCATTGCTTAGTATCATGGTGTCATGATCATGGTTTCATGGTGCATGTCAGTCATTCCAGTGTTCAGAAACTAGAGGCAGGAAGGAGCCAGAGGTAGGAAGAAGAGACAGCCAAAGCCATTCTTGAGTATATATGAGATCTGAGGGCAACCTGGGATACATGGCAGCCTATCTCAAAATTAAACCAAGCCAAACTAAAAAGATAGCAAAACACAAGAGTGGAAATAAAATGGTCAAAAATGGAGAATCAGTACAGATGTACTTGTAGAGAATTGCTTATAATCATACCTTTAATTTTGAGTAGTATATAAAACCATTCCTTCCATTAGAACTCTCTGCAATAATTATAACCCTTAGTCTCAGATGGATGTAGTAGCCATCAGACATAGGTGGCTACTGAGTACTAGAAATGTAGCTATAGTGATTGAGGGATTGAATTTTCATTTTAATGAATTATAACCAAATTTCAAATAGTCACTAAAATCATTTGCCTTACTTAACAGTGCATGTATTGCAGCATTACATCTTTCACAAGTAATTTTAGAAATACTGGTTTGGAGACAGGTTTCTCTGTGTAGCCTTGACTGTTGTGGAGCTCACTCTATAGAGCAGACTGGCATTAAACTCACTGAGATATACTCACTTCTGCCTCCCAGGTGCTGGGATTAAAGATGTGCACCACCACTGCCTGGCTTCAAAATATTTTGAATTCACAAAATTTTATCATTCCTCAGTAGGAGGCTTCTAAAATGAAGTGGCCGACTTACCCTCAGTCACAGGATCTTCCTCTTCCTGTTCAGTGGGGGAAGGAAGTAGGGGCTGCAAGGGCTCCATGTTAATGATGAGCTGTTTGTTCAAGGAGTGAGAACTGCGACTCTGAGTAATGTTGACTCTAAAAACAGATATAAGCCAAATAAATTAGTGTCGACAGCAAATGCTGGCCCTACTCTCTGGACACATAAAGAGATTAAGGCTGATAGTAAAAATGTCCTAACATTTAAGACACGTAGTTCTTCTAGTCATTAGATTCCTGATAAAAGTTAACAAATTCTATTCAGCTTGTGAAAGAAAATAAAGTCCCCAAAATGTCATCAGACAAAGATATGCTCGGTAACAACACAAGAATCTCAAATAGACACAGGAAACACAGCAGGGATTCTCCTAGCCCTGAATTAGACATGTAGAAATCTAAATGACAGAAGCTCAGACCCACTGAACCACCACCACATATCTTGCTTGGACAGAGGACACAGAGAATCTGCAACTGTGAGGTGTCTTCATGTTGTCAGATGTATAGTGCTTAAGATTTTCACTCATGTCCTCCTTAGCAGACAGCCATGAACCTTAGTTCTGGTTATCCTTTGGAAAGATATGTGCACAATAGAAGCTACGACAAGTAACAAAAGGCAAGGAAACGGTTGGTATCTCATTAAAACTATGGATAGGCAGCTAGAAGACCATTTGTATTGCCTATCATAGGGAGAACAGCTGCGGACCCCTCATAGAGGGAAGTGAAAACCTGAAGTCATACATTACGTACTTAATTTTCTCCGTTTCCTGTCAAAACCAAACCAACCAGTCTTTTGAAAATGGTGTCAAACGTTTCCTCTTTGAAGCCTTCCTGGTTGGTTCCTCACCACAGGGACTTGCGCTTTTATTCCTTCCTTCTTCTCATACTTCCCCCTCTTCTGTCACAGTTCATCACATTTGTTACTTCTGCTAATTTACAATTATTATTGCACTAGTCAGTCACATTCTGAAAAGACTTCTGGCCATTCTTAAGAGTCTTACAGTGTCTCAATGGATATCTTCTTATAAGGTTTTCTACTCTTAATCTGAATTAAACTGAGTGCAATCTTAGCTTGACATAACCTGGAATTTCAGAAAAAAGGATCTTTTCAGGCTTGACATTTCTGTTAAGACTTTCATAGGAAGACATGGAGTAGGATGCCTATCTTGAATTGGAAACTTTTACAGCTGTCACTGACTGCATAGGGAGTTGTTGTCAGAGTCATTTCCTCTTTTATTTCGTTCTAGAAACTGAACCTGGAAGTGATGATTATGTATTAGATGATCTGTTTCTTTTGATGATTGGTAGCTCTCCCATTAAGGAAGTCAGTGTTTAGAAGTAACATTTTCATTTTTTAAAAAATCTGAGGCACATATTATGAAATACATTTTGCGTCATCTATCCTCCTCCCAGCATTCCTCATCTGCAGATGTTGGATATTTTGATATTCTTTTATAATTGCATTGCCCAACAACTGCTTGGTTCTAGGACAGGCTGGGATAACTTGGGTTGACATCCCAAGTATAAGTTCATCTTGGTACTGGATGAAAGGTGGGGATAACTTGGCCCCTATATATGGGTTCATGCTGCTTCATTGTAGTAGAGGTCTATGGCTTATGGTTTTGCCTAGGGTTAGGGCAGATGACTCTTGTAAGCCATTAAAAAAATCTCAGATTTTTAAAAAAATTATGACAGAGAAGAACACAGATTTTTCATTAAGTAAAAGACTCAGATAAACCAGAAAGCATTTCCCACAGCACAAAATTCTAGTGCTCCAAGCCCTAGGGTAGACTGATAACTTGAGGAAAAGATCAAAGGAAGCTAATGGAATAATTGGATCTCTCCCATCCCCTTCTTATTTCTGTGGTCTGAAATTATCATTTTGTCCTTTAAAATCCATTTGTTGAAAAAAAAATCCACAAAAAAGAGGACAAAATTTCCTTTGTAATGGTACTAAGAGTCAGGGCATTTGGATATAATCCCATCATGAGAGCCTTCATGAATTGTCTAGATTCCTTACAAAAGCACTCTGAAGGTCAGTGAGTGGCTTAGTAGATAAGGACATTTGCCATCATACCTGATGGACTGGCCATTTGGGTGGCTCAGCAGGTAAGGATATTTGCCACCATAACTGATGGACAGATATTTTTAATTCCATGACCCCATAGAATAAGGAACTAACCACTCTTTTAAGTTGTCCTCTGAGACCTATATACACGCCATAATGAGTACACATATTGTTGTGTACAAAATATCCAGTATGTTGTATTTTGCTATATAAACTCAAATATACAACGTCTTCTATTTCCTTTAGACTAGAAATTATGCCTATCTATCTATTTGGAATGGTTGCAAAGAGGATTATTGACATGGGGTTCATTGAGAGCAAAGGCTTATTGGCACGGTGGCTAAGGACAAATACTTAAAAGACCAAAATCTGAGTGGCCAGTTCATTTTACATACTGGTTTGTATACACTCTGCTCACCTTTTGCGTCTCTCAGTGTGCTTATAAGTCACATACAATAAGAATATTTGTACCTTTGAGAGAAATTGAGATTCACTAGTGCCCACCTGCCGACAAAGGTCCTAGACTAACTGACAAAACCCGAGTGCCAGGCATAGAAAATGTCCCTTCTAGTTGTTAATCAGAGTTGCATGTGTTGTGGTCTAAGATACTCTCAAAAAATAGAGGTTAGTGCATTGCTCCTGGCTGTCTCCTAAACCTTGAAGGCAAGATCCCATTGCAGAAGACACAACATTTTTTAGAAGCTTGATTTGAAGGAATTGAGTTATGATTGTCCTGGAAGTCTCCTCTCTGAGGACTAGTTGTCATAGTATCAGAAGGTGCTATATAAAATGCCAAAGGGGGGGGATGATTAATTATCCTACCCTGCTTTAAAGCCTACCAGGAGAATAAACTGGTGAAATAATCCTAATTGGGCAACAGTGGCATTTTTATGAAGGAGCTAAACAGCATCTGTCTAATTGTATTAAAAGATTAATTAATGGGACAAAATTCACATGTGGTACTGTAAATCTAGCCATCTACCCATGGCTAAAGATGTGTTAAATCCTAGGAGAACCTACTATTGTCATTTTCCTAAATCAGTATAACTTCCAGCAGTTTTCTAAATAATTTTGCCTACAGATAACTTAGTTTTCACCCCTCATTAAAGAAGCTTCATTTACTATCAGATGGAGTCTATATAGAAATCCACAACTGGTCAAAATGCAGAGAATACATTATCATGATGTGCCCAGCTTCAATTAGAATATTTACAACAAACTTCTATACCTAAGGCTCAGAGAAGATTGCAGAAGAGTGCGTGGAAAGATTGTAAGAGTCAGAAGATGAGAATCCTGATGAAAGATAATTTCTTTCAGTAATAAATGGGAAGCTGTATCCATAAATCTCAGCAATGTGGTATCTGGACAAAATCTGTATAAGCAAAATATCAGTTGACATGTCAATATGGATGAGGGAAATTTCACAAGGCCCCCACCTTTAGATGAATAGATACTGTCAATCTATGGCTGCTGAGAGAGTTAGATTCAATTTTCTCCAGGGATGATCCTCCAATATTCAATCCTAAATAGTCTTCCCTAAACACAGATACATACAAGTGACATTAAATGAACTCAGTAGGTTTTATATGCATGTGGTGCATATGTGTGTACCCCACATGTACATTTAATATACATGCAGGGCTATGTATGCATATATATGTTTGTATATATATGTATATAATGTGAATTACAGAGAGTCTGTCACATGGAAGGAGTTGGAATGGAGAGAAGGAAGGGTAGAAGTGACTTAATATACTCATGTATGAAATACTAAAAAAATAAAACAAAATAAAAACCAAGGAGTTACATGGGCAAAACTAGGATTCTAAACTTTCTGTGTTAGTGAGTGTACAGCATCCCAAAGGGATTTGTTTTACAACTAAAGTTTTGAATTTGGGGTTATATAAGAAGGTCCCATGGTGCCAACCACTTTTCTAAGAATTTGCTGAGGTTCAAATTGACGTCTACTTTGTCCTTCCTCCTCATATCCTGAGGTGTTTTAGTCAGTTCTGTAATGCTATAAAAAGTGTGGAACATTTATAATATACAAATAAAATGAATTGATTTAGAACGCAAGTCTGGAACCTAAAAAATCCAGAAGGCATTGTGTAGTCATTGTCTTAGCTCCTGATGAAGGCCATATGATGGGCCACCTCACAGCAGACAAGGCAGAAAAATAAACTAGAATGTTCCAAAAGGCAAATGTGAGGAATTATTATCTTCAAGAATATTGATAATTTGGTTATTACAAGAGAGTTTAATAGCATCAAGCAATGAATCCATCCATGAGGGTAGTGTCTCCATGATACAAACACTTTTCACATAGCCCTCGTTTTAATTTTCTCACCTCCTCACAACTGTTCTGTTAGAATTAAGGTTCTGGTATAGGCACCTTATTTTATCATGAAGTAACGGATGCCTATGCCAAGTAAGAACATGTGCTATATTTGTACACTTATAGATCCCATTCGTTAGCTGTAGAAATGACTCTCTGAGTTTACAAGCCACACCTGCTCAATATTATCCAAAAAAAAGCTGTTATTAAGAATTCCATTGCAGGAGGAAGGCTGGTTGTGGAAAATTAAAGTAAGTTATAACATTGAAAGATAAAATTTGTGTAGACGTTAGAGTACTGATTCTTTCCTCAGTGTGAGAAAAACATGTATTCAAATATGAGAAAGGTAAAGTTACACAACTGCATTGTAAGCTGATGACAAGTAAGTGCCGGACTCAAATGGTGATGAAACAAAATGAGTACATGACGTTCATGACAGTCATTCACTACTCTATGACCGGATGAAGTAGTGCTGGGCTACTGTCTGAATGGATTTGAATATGAATGTATTTTCCAGAGTCTACCTCTGCATTTTTACAAGGTTGTGGTTGGAATCAGAGGTATTCCAATGCTACACAAGTGTTCCGTTACTGATCTGGATGTTAAGATCTAGCTGCCTTGTTCTAAATGAATGAGAATAATGATATTATTGCTTTACGTGTTTGTCACTTTACATTTTAAAACGTTTTTTAAGCCCCCAACAAAATCTAAAACTAGGTCAAGGCAATATAAAAATCTCATTTCATAGATGGGTAAACCAATAATCTAGGAAATTCAGTGACTTACCCAAGGCCACAGAGCTGGCAGGCAATGTAGCAAAGATTAAAATCTATTCATTTTTGTACCAGAACATTCTTGTATCTTGCTGGTTCTGGGTGTTCTGTGTGTCCCCTGGTGGTGGATGCTATGCTCCGAGCTGCAGCCCTCCATCTGATGTGGCCTCTTGGCTAGGCTCAGGGATTCTTCCCCAGCAGCCAGCCCAGGACATCTTTCCCCAGGATCTTCCCATGCCATCAATAAAGGCCAGTGAACTAACGTCAGAGTGAGCTTCTCTTTCTGAAGGAAAGAATAATCCTAAAATATTCTCAGTCTGTTTGGTTTCTCTCTCTTTATACATACATACTTTTCCAGAAGCAACAGCCTATGAGCCTATAATTTTTTTGAGGAACTGAATCTCAGGTGTGGGGAAGGATGATAAATTAATAACTTATTATTGCCATTATAAACTAACATCTTTTCTGAAGAGTTCCCACAAAATATAACTTCATTACTACAGTTTTACTTTTGATAGCCACATTGTGATAGGGGAGTTCAGTCAATCACATTCTGTTTTGGGGGCGTGCCACCCTCAGGCAAAAGCCTGCATATAAACCTAGCAAGCGAGCTCCGCTAGCTCTCTTTTTCGCCTGGCTCCTGCGTCCAGACGGATCATTTGGATTCTGGTGTAAGCTGTTGTAAGTCTTACTTCTGTTTATTAAAGCTGTATATTTTGTATCAAGATAGTCTGGGGACTTTTTCATTACCAATCGCCCTACAGCTTCAACATTGAAATGTCAACATAGTTTAAATACAAAATAATGGTTCAAGAGAAACAGGCCTCCCATGAAAATGACTTTTAGGAAAGTTAAATTACATGAAAGGGTTGCACATTTCTACTGCTCTGACCACATGGTGCCTCTGGTGAGGTCAAGGGCTTTGTGAATAACATCTTGGATATATCTCATGTCTAAGAAAACGGCTAAATTTCCTATCCATTTAAAAGAAGAAAATAAGAGATCCTTAAGGCTATTTCCTATCCAATGTTTCTGGAAAAGTAAACATGGTATATCCTATTATCCCCATCTTCCTTTCTCCTATGATAAACTGTTACAGCTTAGGAGAGAGGAAGAGTGCTCTAAATCCTCTTCTGTTCTTTGAGCAGCCTGACACATATTTAGATGGCGCACCAAGGTACCCTCAATCAGAGCTTCTCTATTCTCTGACCCTGAAGGTTTCTCCTATTTTTTAAAGCTGGAGTGACAGTTTTTACAGATCTGCATTGAGAGCTCCCCTTAGGACTCCTCAAAAGCAGGAATAAGTCAAAAGCTGAATACATGTGCATCAGGTCTTCCGAAGACTTCAGCTGTGCTCAGCTTCTAGGAAACAGGTAACATCGAGATGCCCTTGATAGTATGGCTTGCCCTATATTGGGGAAGGTCACAGGTACCTTCTGCCTGTAACTCCAGGAACAAGGTGGAGTACCACTGAGTTCACTCAATATTATTGCAAATGGAGGAAATTCAGAAAATCTGTACATAAAGGAAAAACTTGCATTCAAAGTTGAAGAAGGAAAGACAGGTGTCAATTGTCTTATGAGAAAGTCCCTAAATAATTTAGCTTATCTGAAGTGGAGGAGATCTTATGGGGAAGCACAGGATATAGGAAGGGATGTTTTTGGAGGTGGGACATGCAAGGGAAGTGGAGAAGGTGAATAAGAACAATATATATATATATATATATATTGTATATGTGTGTATATGTATAAATGCTATGATGAAGCCCATTATATCACCTAACTTACAAATTAAAATAGGTTATAATGATTTTACCCTAAAAGGGGTGGTGTCATGGTAAGACTGTTCAGTTTAAGGTATTCATGATGTTTGAAACTTAGGCTATACATGAGGCTTAAATTGTTGTCATATAAAGTCGATTTGTAAAAGAAAACACAAACACTTAATCTCTAATAACTAATTATAGATTGTCCATTTAAAAAAGATGTGCAGGATGTAGGCAGGAGGATGAGAACTTCAAGGTTATTCTAGCTATGTAGTGAGCCTGAGGTTATCTTGGGGTACAGGAGACCATGTCTCAGAAAAAAGTGTGTACTCTGAACCTAATAATGGTCATGCTTCTCATCCCATAGTTTGGTCTTTGGGAGTATAGAGACCAAACATATGTAAACTGTTTTTAAGTTAGCATATAGAAAAGCACACTGCTAAAGAGAAGGACTGGAATAGGTCTTTCCATAAGTCCAAGCAAATCAAACCTTTGATCAGGTACAGAGGTACTCCAACGTACCTGAGCTGACTTATGTTTCTTTTTTTTTAAATATTGCAAATAAATATAAACCTTTATTTTTTGAAAATATACAACAACTATAGTGGTATAAATGTTGAACATTAGCCAAAATCAAGTAAATGAAATAATTTTTGAGGTTTAATTCTATGAAACTTTTCAGTAATTATTTATTTTTTTCTTTTCTTTTTTGTTTTTATTTTTAATTTTTGTTTTTCTTATGTTTCTTTATAGTATGAAAACACACACTCCTTACTGAAGGCTTAGAGCCTAATGAGACATGAAATGCATGATGTTGTTTGTAGGACTTTATGTAGCAGAGCATATGTGAAAAAGCTTATGCTATGCAAATAAACCCAAAAGACCATATGATATTAAAAACCCTAATCATTTGTATAATGTTGCCTTTTGAGCTGTTATTCTTTTTCCTTTCTCCATCTTCCCTTGGGAACTCTTTATCTTTTCCAACAAATTGTTATTGCTCTGCTGTCACTGTATGCCTTTGGTTAATTTATTCCTCAAGGATAGAAGAAGCTAGAAGCTCTCCGGATGTGTTCCTGGTATTTTAAACTCATCAGATACCACAGGGATGGATTATTGTTCAGTGGTAGAGAAGAAGTCAGAGCAGTAAGCTTAACCATGTCTTGTGAGCAGGATATGGTAGGAGCTATTCTCTGAGGGCAGTGTGACATGGTGATGGAGCAGACAGAGCTATTAGGAGCCATCCAATGGCATTTTCTTGCTTAGTCATGCAGCATTCTAGACCCAATACCAATCTGCACATCAAGTTACCAAAGAGGGAACCAAGCTGTTGTCAGGGCACAACCCTGAAAAATCTAAGATTTTGAGGGAAGTAAATGTCTTGACTTCATGCTGCATGTCACTATATAAAGAGACATAAGAGAGGAATCAGAAAAGTTAGGTTAAAAATTATTTTTGGGCTGTTGCAGAATAAACTCAGAGCTTCATGTGTGTTAGTCTAACTTTTAAGTGCCTTTGTGTCTCATGGAAGCATCCTCCCCAAAGCCAGAAGGGAGCACTCCACTCACCTGTGCACCTCAGGAGGATCCCTCTGGATTTTGGAGCTTGCCTCCACCACCTCTTTGGCAACTTTACCACTATGAAATACACAAATACAATGCATGTGAGTAGATACTCCGAAGAAATGGGCTCAAAGAGTCTACCTCTTCCTATATACCATGAGGAAAATTATGTGGAGGTTTAGGTTGTCATGTCAGGAGCATAACTCAATAGATTGGGAAGCAGACTAACAGAGGGTTATAAACACAATATCTACAAACAAAGCATTCTAATGTAAATGGGTGTTTTCCCCCACCCATCACTGCAATGGATCCACTGTTACCCACCTATATCGAAATCTACTTCCTTTAAAAAATATCTTGCTGCTCGACACAGTCTTGATCTGACTTGACTTGGCATACCTTTAAGGAAAAGCATAGCAGAGGTGGTAGTGACCTGAATCAAGAATTCTCAAAAGAGGAAAAAAATGACTAAAACCATCTTAAAAAATGATTCACCATCTTAGAAACTAGGGATATGCAAATTACCCTACATAGTACATATTTCTAGTTCCATTTATTTATCTGTGACTTTCATAACTTCTTTTTTTCTTTAGAGTTGAATGAAATTATGTTATTTGTATGTACAACATTTTCATCATCTATTCTTCAGTTGATGAGCATCTTAGCTGCTTCTAATTCCGATCAATGTGAACAAATTAGAAAAGATGATGGATGAGTAAGTATCTGTGAAGTAGAAAAGACTACTTTGGAATGATATAGCTAGATTATATGGTAGATATTTCTAGCTTTTTGAGGAACTAATATATTGATTTCCATAGTGACTGTGCCAGTTTGTACTCCTAACAAGAATGAATATGTGTTACCCTTACTTTATATCCTCCTTAAAATTTGTTGTCTTTGTTTTTGTGATCTTTGTAATTCTGACTGGGGTGAGACGAAATGTCAAAGTAGTTTTGATTTGCATTTCCCTGAAAGTTAAGGACGGTGAACTTTTTAAAAATACTTCTTAGCCGAATGTGTCATTTTTTGTAACCAGGTAAGACTTTCAGTGGTGGGACTGGAACACTACCCAGACATAAAACCTGCAGCCTACAACCTGTCCTGTGATGTCTTGCTTTTATTGGCTAATGAATAAAGCTGTTTTGGCATATATCAGGGCAGAAGAGAGACATACAGAGAGAGTAGGTGGAGTAAGGCAGACATCATATAGCTGTCAAAGGAGAAAGATGCCAGAACCTACTGGTAAGCCACAGCCTCGTGTGATACACAGATCAACAGAAACATGCTAATTTAAGATATAAGAGCTAGGTAGGAATATGCTTAAGCCACTGGCAAAGCAGTGTTGTAATTAATATAGTTTCTGTGTGATTATTCAAGTATGGGCAGCTGGAAAGTGAAAAGAGCAGTCTCGGTCTACAGTACTGCCTACAAGATGTACTTGGGCAATGGTGGCTCAAGGTTGTGGAAGTGGTCAACCAATGCCAATGGAGGGAGCCCATGATCCATATTTCCTGACTGGCCGCTAATTGATTACTTGCTGGCCCAGAGATTTAGGGTAGAAACAAACATGACTGACAGAAACTTAAAAGAAAAAAAAATCAATGAAATGATTCCTGGTGGTATTTTGCTATATTGATATATTATTGCCTAGCCCAACCATTATCAGAGAGGATTCCTCCAGTAGCTGATGAGAACAGATGCAGAGACTTAGAACCAAACATTAGGCAGAGTTTGGGAACCATACAGAAGAGGAGGAGGAAGGATAGTGGGGGGCAGAGGGGTTGAGGACACCAGGAGAACATGGGTCACAGATCAACTATGCAGGGCTCATAGGGGCTCACAGAGACTGAAGCAGCAATCAGAGAGCCTGCATTGATCTGTACTAGGTCCTCTGCATATAGTTGTGGTTTTTTTGCGTGGGGTTTTTATGGGACTCCTAACAGCAAGAATCTGGGTGTTTCTGACTCTTTTGCCTGCTTTCAGGACTTTTTTCTCCTACTGGATGTAGTTTTGATATGAGGAATTGTGCCTAGTTTTATCATATTTTGTTATACCGTGTTTGGTTGCTAACCCTTGGACGCCTGCTCTTCTCTGAAAGGACAGGAAGGAGCAGTGGATCTGGTGAAGAAGGAAGGTAGGGGATGACTGGGAGGAAGAGGAGGGAGGGAGGCTACTGTCAGGATGTATTATATGAAAGAATGCATTTTTAATAAAGCAGAAAAGAATACTTCTTAGCCTTTGAATTTCTTCTTTGAGAGCTCTTTGGTTCCATAGCACAGTTTTAATTGGGGGGTTCATTTTATTTATTTTTTTAGTTCTTTGAATATTCTAGACACTAATCCTTTATCAGATGTGTATATTATAAATAATTATATCCTAAATTTATATTACATTTAAATAGAATATATACAAAGAATGGTTTAAATAAAATGAATATGTAGTCATTAGCAAGGCATAAACGGATCATGAGTGCTTTAAAAACCTATAATCAAGTGAACACAAGAGTCTTACTTGTAAAAGGCTTGGTTCTCTACCCCACATTTCCATAGATGTTTGCAGGCAGCTGGTGTTGAAGTATGGAACGCCAAGACAGAATTTTTCTAATAAAAAATAACAAGAAAGGGTATGTTAAACACAGTTTATATTATTCATGCTTTTCATTAAGGTGTTTATATGCTTGTAGCCCACTGCATATTTTTTATATGTACATGGAGGTGATTTAGGCATGTAGATCTATATGCATTCTTATATGGAGGCAAAATGTTGGTGTTGGTGTATTCCTTTACCATTCTCAAATTCACTTTTTGAAACAGTTTCTTACTGAACCTGAAGTATACCATTTCAACTAGGGTGACAAGTCAGCAAACTCTAGGAATAACTCTCCTTGGCTGGGGCCAGAAGTTTATATGGATTCTGGATATCAAACTAAAATCATCAATATTGCACAGTAAATATATTGATCCTTCACTCCAGCATGTCCTCCAATATTACTATGTTCATTAAAGTTGAAACAGTATGGCTTTTTTTTTTCTCGTTCATTAGACATCATTAATCTATTTAAATGCCAAAAAAGCTGATTCATAATTTTCCCTAATTCTCCAGTTATCACACCTATCTATCAATCCTTGATCAATCTAAAAATTACTACAACACTAAATGAACATTTTAGTCATTAGCAAAAGTCAAGAAAATCAGCAAACTTCAAAGTTAGTTTTAAGGTTCAATATTTTGGCAACAGCCTTCCACAAAGTCCATTCCTCAGTGAGCCAACAAATTTTATTTGATGACTGTTAAAAGCTCATGGGGGAAAAACAACTTGGGCATATATACTGTGGCCATAACACTTTATCCAGTGTTGACTGCTGTCTAGTTTCTAGAAGAATTGATCTTTGCTGGGTGGTGGTGGCACACTCTTTTAATCCCAGCAGAGGCACACTCTTTTAATCGTGAGGCAGAGGCAGGTGGATCTCTGTGAGTTAGAGGCCAGCCTAGTATATAGAACTAGTTCCAGTACAGGCTCCCATTTATTTGTATTTTAGACAAAGATTTACAGAGAGAGTCCATGTTTTATATTTAATAAAGTTTATCCCAATCTATTTTTCATATAGGTCTATACAGTTAACATTGCTCATTGACTTTATTCTTACCTGTGGATTTCCATTAACTTGTCTAGCTCTAAAATGTTTTCAACAAACAGCTTCCATTATCAGTACTCTTCAAAGTCACTCTCTTTTGGGGCAACCACACTAAAAGCTATTTTGTTCTTAGATCTCTCTTATGCACACACACTTGCACATGCACACACATCAAGTAATTATTAAAAACAGTATCTGACCTCCTTTTGGGTGCCAATCACATAAAATGTCTTCCCTTCAAACTTGAATTTGCAAACATCTGGCCTAAGAAAAGAAAGACCCTGGGTTAGAAGAAAAAAAACAAAAACAAAACTACAGCTGAACAAGGCACCTAGCTTTGCATGTAAATCTATCTGACTTACAAATGCCAAGGAAACAACAATAAACCAAAAATCTTTTTTATCATAAGTGATGGTATATTGAGAATGGAGGTCTCTGAGTAAATTATGTAGCAATTTTCTTCCCAAGAGTTGACGCACTGCAAGATCAAAATTATTTCTCCTTGTTCCTTTTATTTTATTTTTTTTACAAGTTAGGATACACTTTTTTATTTAACAGGCTCTGAATTATTTGTAAACATTAGTAACTGAAACATGAATTGGTAAATTCACTTTTCAAAGTAGGAAGAATGTTAGTAGAATAATACGAATTCAAAGTTTTTAATTTTTCCATTCTTCTCCATCCATCTCTAGGAAGAACATAATACCGCCTTGCAAATTTTCAAAAGAATCATCCCCATCCACATTGAAATTGCCCAAAAAAATTATGGTCAAAAGACAACCTTGATTTTATCTCAAAGGGCTATTTGTTGTAACCTGATTTGAATGTACGTCCACGGTCATTTCCTTGATGAGTAAAATGAAGGGTGGATTTTTAATATCTCTTTTATTTAATTTCTAGAATAGTTATATTGTATGCGTATTTTTTCTATGAGAAAAGAAACAGTGCTTCATTCACCTGTTTCAGTTTAAGTATAGAATTTTTGAAATGGTAACAAAACTGGATTAAAAAAACACAACTATGATTTACATGAGAAGAAAATTTGATTTAGCAAAAGATGCATGGTTATAACAAATAAATATGTTTAAGAAGAAGCCAGGAAGAATGTGATCCACATGAACACAGTACCAGTAACATAGGCAACCTGAAGAAATGAAAACAGAAACAAATACTCCAGAGACTATTCATCTCCATGTTTCCAATGACCCCTCCACAAAATGTCAAGTGGAAAAGACAGGAAATCAATCTACATTAAGGTGCGGCAGCTTCTAATCAAACCAAACCAGGTCTCAAGTAATTTTGGAAACCTGTGTATAACATCCTCCAGGACTTTTACAGACCTGGGATAGAATGAGGGCAGTCTTCAAGTTACCCATGCTTCCCAAACTAAGTTGGAATATCTATGGTATCTACCCTGGAATTGACTGAAGTAAACACTTTGGAGCTTCTTTGTCAGATGCTGAAAAATCTAGAGAAGAAAACCAGATAGCAACATCATCATAAAGCATTTATAGTTATCAAATTAGACTAGATTTCCAAAGCACTCTTACAAACATTGCATTTGCTTCTCCTCCAACTCCTTCGCCCGTTGTAAGACAGACATATATAACCAGTACCCATCTTATGAGTGAATACATTGAGACTCAAAGAACTTACGGGCGAGTTCTGAGATTCCTAACCAGAACAGACAAGTGGGTACAAAGGACGACTGAAATATGACTGATTAAAAGCCAATGACACAGTAGGAATAGATGCTATAGAACAGTTGGGGGTCTTAGACAGATGAGCCTAGCACTTAAAAATAACTGAATGTTAATACAGGATTGATCGGCCATTCCAGGTCTTTTGTTATTCCAAATGAATTTGAGGATTTTTTTTTTCTCCTTATGTGATAAATGAGATGAGGCTGTTGATTGGGAATGCACTGAATTAGGAAATTGTTTTTGGCTGGTGATCTTTTTCACAATGTTAATTTTATCAAGTCCTAAGGATGGGAGGTCTTTTCAAATTCCAGTGTCTTTGTCATTCTCTTTTTCTCAGATATAAAGTTTTCATTGTAGAGGTTTGTCACCTCCCTTGTACAGTTTATTCTAAATATTTTATTTTATTTGAAAAGTTGGAAATAGTAGTGTTTCCATGATCTCTTTCTCAGTAAGCTTGCTACTGGTTTATATAAACACTAGTGAATTTTTAAAGTCAATTATGTATCCTAACACTTTGCTGAAAATATTAATTTCTACAATTTGTTTCTACAAATTTTCTGGGGGGAAATTTGGTATCTCTTAGATATAAAAATTATACCATCTTCAGTTGGGAATAATTTGACTATTTGTATCCCTCTAATTTCCCTCTCTTGCTTTACTGCTATAGCTACTGCTTGAAGCATATTGCTGATAAGTAGTGGGAATAGTGGGCAGTTATCGCCCATTTCTGATTTTAATAGGACTGCTTAGCGATTTTCTTCATTTAGGATGATATTGACTGTGGGTTTGTCCTATATAGCTTTTATTATGTTGGAATATGGTCCCTACATTTCTATTTGTTCTAGAACTTTTATTATGAAGTTATGTTGAGCTTTGTCAAAGGCTTTTTCTTTCTCTGCATCTATTGATATGACCATGTGATATTTGTATTTTTGTCCATTTACATGGTTTATTACATTTATTTCTTTTTTATGTTAAATTTGTATCTCTGTGATAAGGCCAGTTTGATCATGGGATTTGCTCTTTTTGATACATGTCTTATGTAATTTGTAATGATTTTAGAATTTCTGTTTATCAGGGATATTGACATACACAACACATACACACACACACACAAGTGAATATGTGTGTATTCCTGGTTTTGGTATTAGACTAATACTGGCTTTGAAGGAGGGATTTGGAAGTACTCTATGTTTCAATGTTTTGAATAATTTAAGAACTATTGGTTGTAGGTTTTCTTTGGAAACCTGTTAGAATTCTGCTTATCTTTGCAGGTTATAAATAATTCTATTATGAAGCTACATGGTAAATGGTTACTATCTGTTTCATTTTTATCTCTATTGATGTGAAAAAATATTCTGACCAAAAAGAACTTAAGGGAAGAAAAGTTTATTGCAGGTTACAACTCCAGGACATGTCGGTCCTTGAGAGAAGTTAAGGCAGGAACTTGTTGGCAGTCCAACACTCTGTTCCACACAGCAAGCTCTAACTAAGGAATCTACTTCATCAGCCTCTCGGTGCAGCAGGAACTATGGCTTTCTTACAGTTTAAGACTTCTTGCCTAGGGAATGGTGCTGCCCACAGGCAGCTGGGCCCTCCTATATCAATTAATACTCAAAATAATTGTTCACAGAAATGTCCACAGGCCAATCTGATCTAGGATATTTCCCAATTTAGATTCTCTTTAAGATATTCTAGTGTGCTCGCTTTTGTCTCACTGTGATAAACACCATGAAAAAACAAACCAGCTTCTGTGGGGAGGGGGATGAGATGACTCATTCTATTTTACACTTAAAGATAATAGATAAGGGAAGTCAGTGTGATGGGAACTCTAGGCAGGAACTTGGAGGGAGCAACCGAAGAAGTGACCACAGAGGAATGCTGTTTACTGGCTTGCTCTTCTGGCTTGTTCAGTTACATTTCTTTTTTTTTTTAATATTTATTTATTTATTTATTATGTATACAATATTCTGTCTGTATATATGCCTGCACGTCAGAAGAGTTCACCAGACCTCATTGCAGATGGTTGTGAGCCACCATGTGGTTGCTGGGAATTGAACTCAGGACCTTTGGAAGATCAGGTGATGCTCTTAACCTCTGAGCCATCTCTCCAGCCCTCAGTTACATTTCTTATACAGTCCAGACCCATCAACCAGAGGTGGCACCACTAAGAATAAGTAATAGACCCTTCTACATTAAGTAATAATTAAGGAAATTCTCTCAGTGACATGCCCATAGGCCAATTTTATAGAAACAATTCCTCAATTGAGATTCCTTCTTCCCATGTGTATCTAGAAATTTGGGTCAAGTTGACAAAAACTAGCTAACATAATCTACTCTTTATTACCTTGACAACAAACATATTACGGTTAAACCATAACATTTTCCCCAAGTGTCCATATTCATATTACAATATAAAATACAGTCCTTGTCCAATATCTGGGACGCACTCATGATCTCCTGGGCTTTAAAGGGCTTTGGTAGCCCCATCACTCTAGCTGTACAATCAGTAGTACATGCAGAGGCTCAGCATGCTCCACTCTACACCTGCACTGCCCTTGGTGATAATTCCAAGATTATAGTATCTACACCTGAGTCTACACCTCCACTGACAGCCACCTGCCTTCTGACTTCACTTCAGGAACCCTGATTCTGCCACTCACTGCCAATCCTCAGCTTTTTCCTAAGACGCCTTCAGTCCTGGGGTTTCTAATGTAACTGAGGCTGCACCATTACAAATGACAGCTCCTGGACCTTCTTCACGGACTCGAACCTGCCACACAGTGAGTGCTTAATCTCATCTGTGCGTCATGACACCTTTATGCCTTCAAAAGCATGATATGGGAGTCTCGTAGACACCAGTTTTGCTCCTCTGGATCACAGCTTCTGTGTGCTGATCCAGAACAAATACTTCCTAGAAGAGTTAACCTCAATGATGGTGGTCTTATTACTATTAGCTGACTTTTCAGTCTCAGCTAATCATTATTTATTGTCCCAGTAAAGCAAAGAAAGTTTCCTTTCCACAAAGTGTGAATAGAAAGCATCATATAAACAACCCTGATATAATCTTTTCTTTCTTTTGAAAATTCACAAGCCAGTCCACCATTGTTTATATTGCTTTCAGCATTATATTTCAATTTCCCACAGATTAGCTCAATACACTTTAAACAGTCAATCTCTGCTGTGCACCAAAATTCCAAAATCCTGTAACAATCTTCTCCAAAACAAACACGTTCAGGTGTGTTACAACAAGACCCTACTCCTGGTAGTATTTTTTTTTTTAAAAAAAATATAGTTTCCTTATATTGAGGCAATAACTGAAGCAGAGATCCCGAAAGAACAGAGCTTGCTTGTTCCAGTGGTCTTGGTCTGCTGCCTTTCTTAGACAGCACAGGCCGGCCCATCCAGTTATGCTGCAAAAACACAGTGGGGTAGGTCTTATTACATCCAACTAACCATCAAGAAAAGGGTTCACAGGTATGCCTGTGGGATAATGATATTTTTTTGATGAATTTCTTCAGTTCAAAGTCACTCTTTTCAGGTATATCTAGGACTTGTGTCAAGTTTACAAAAGCTAACAAGAAGACCAGATAATTTTAAGTTGTATCAAGTTGACAGTTGCAGCTAAGCAGATCACTACCTGACAGTGCCAGAAAAAATAATGCTAAAGAAAAAGGAGAGGAAGATCAAGAAAAAGGTAAGCCATTTTTCCAAAGATGTACTCACCATTTTCTTAAATGGATTCTCTTATTTCCCTGGAATACCACAAAGCCTGCTGCTGTGAATCCTAAAAATGCTGTAGCACCTCTTGAATCCTGAAGAAATAAAAATGAAGAACTATTTAGATTGAGAAATAGAAACGATAAATGGCAAGCTTATTTTATTTAATCTTAGGTTAGTTCAAACCAAGGTTAGTAACTAAAGACAGAAAATAAGTGTTTAAGATGGAATTCCCAAGAACATGACTTCCAAACTCTGGAAAAAAATCTAGGGTTATGTATTATTTTTCTTTCAGAAATAGACATCTTACCCTATCACAAACCACATAAAAAATACAGATTTCTCCCAAATACTGTACTTTTCAATGTTTTGAATGCTTGAGCTCTGAACCTTTTCTGTAATGCCAGCAAACTATTGTTGGTTGGCTTTATATTTCTAATATAATAAAATCAAATAAAATCAAAATTTTGAACATTTTAACTAAACTGATTCAACCACATGCAGAATATCTGGCAAATCAGTATAACAGTATCCATAAAAAACCTACTTCACTCCCGGCCAAACATGAAGCTCTAAGCAACTCATGGGTAACTTAAAGGCAAAACAAACAAACAAACAAAACCCAGAAAAAATTCAATTTCCAAACAAGAAAATTAACGAAAGGGAATACATTTCTGGAAAGAATATAAGTCATTGGATGAAATAAACATATTTACCTAATCACTAGAGGAATCTAGGAAATACCATAAAACAATTGTATAGGTAGAAAAAGAAGATACATATTTCAATACAGACAGGTAGAACCATCCTGGCACGTCTGTGTCACCTGGCAGCTTGGCCTCCATGCTCAGAGCCTGAGGAAATAGGGGTTGGATAAGCCCTGGGCAAGCAGACCTTTATGATGTTTCCCAGGTGCTGATAATGAGCAGACTGAGCTGAGTACAATAGATCCAGTACTTAGCTAATAATCTGGCTTGGTTTGTGCAAATATAAATGCTAAAGAATAGCTCCAAAATTTATTTTTAATATCTGGATTGACAAGGACTCTTAGTCTAGAATTAATGTTACTCTCTGATTGATACATAGTTAAATGCAAAGAAGAAAATATTGATTGCATCAAACATTTCTCGGGATTATAAACACAAAACCACTTTAGGAAATTGATATGAAGAAAATTGCCTGTCTTGGGAGATAGCTAAATTAGCAAAATGCTACCCATCCAAATATAAAGATCTGAGTTGATATCCCCAAACTCACATTAAAAAAATATCTGGATTCAGCAGTGTGTGCTTGTAACCCTCATTGGTTATGAACGAGGAGAGATTATTTAAAATACCAGCCTAACCAAATCAATAAACTCCCAGTTTAGTGAGAGATGAAAGACACCCAAGGCTGACCTAGGGTCTCCACATGTAAGCACACACATGTGCACACTCAGCTACACATATGTGTGTGCACACTCCCCTTCACATGTATTGCACACGTACACGAGAGAGATACAGACACAGAAAAATAATCTGCAACTCTGAGATAGGTAATTCTGATAAAAGTTGTTTCATACTTGAGGAAAATGTTGCTAAATAATGAGAAAAAGGAAAAGATCAACAAATATTCTCACTTAATGTAACTTAAAATCTTTCTTTTTTCTTCACATTTCTCCATTTTGAAGAGTACACTGAAAAGCTAATATAATTTTATTTTTGTGGATATAATATAAGTTACACTAACCTGTTGGCTAGGAATGTTCAAGAGACTTTCAAAACCTACAGCCTATTGCTTTGTCCTTGGTAACCCCACACTCGTAGAGGATAGGATCCTACTGATGAAGATATCATGCACTTCAGAAACAGGGCCCAGAGACATCTGAGCTGGAACTGAATAGAAAGTCTTCTCTATGGGGACTCATGGTACCAGAAGATTCCATGTAAGTTTCCAAAGGAGCGAGGCAACCAACAATCCTACTCGCTGAAATGCCCGTGAACCACATCAATAGTCATCCAGATGTGATAACCCTAAGAGTGCAGTTGTGGCAGGCATACCTTGGCAATAACCAACAGCTTTCTAATTGGACTAACACCCTGCAAAACAAAAGAGGAGTCCCTGCCTCATACTGTAAACCTAGCTAGCTACTCAATGCTAGTAAAGTCATGGTTATTCTCATTTATAACCAGCATAATCCCTAAGAACAACCAATAAAAAAATAATTGCCTTTATACCCACAAATAAGTGGATCCTTCATTTATCATCAAGTAAACGTCTCTTTGAAGTAGATGGAGCCCATAACAACAACAAAAAAAACCAAAAACACAGCCAATCAAAATGCAGAGTTTTGGAGCCCAGTCCCAGTGGGTACATCTCCAAATCATTCCCCTACCTGGGTCTGCATCAAAAGGCAAAGTTTCCAGGGAATGCTGGTGGATGGGAGTAGAAGCCCCTATGTGCAGGTTACTGGAGTACTAAGAGTAAGCCAGAAGAGTCAGGAATGGAAGAGAGGGATTATAATAAAAAGTTTGCCTACCTGAGACCTAGCCTACCCTAGCCACTGAGGCCTACGGTACAGAATGATTCTGTGGGTACAGGGACATCAAAGAGGAAAGGAGATGGACTGGAAAGAAAGTCTGGAAATGATGGCCCCAAGACAAGTGTTTTTGTTGGTAAAAACTTTGAAAGTAAACTTGTTTGAATACTCTCACTTTCCAAAGGGAAATCGTTCATTAGATGAATAAATGTATGTATATTAATTTAGAAAAATTTGACTACTTCAATACAATTAGTGAGCATTTCCAGGTCTCTGGCACAGAACCTAATCACATTCGAAACATGTGATGATAGCCTACTTGTTATATCTTCCACATAATTTTTGTGGTAAGGCTGTATAAATCTAAGGGTATTCTGCCAGGTCTGCACGCCAATAATTTGATTTGGAACAAAATAATAATTATATGGTGACCTCTTTGAGGCTATTACCTTGCATGGGTGAGGATCCACCCCATAAGTTTCCAATGTATGAGCTTTCAGGAGTAAGTTGAATTCAGCAATCGCTGGGCTCTGACCTCTAAAATGACACATACACACACATTAAAAAAAATTAGAGAATTCAAGTAAAATACGATCAAAAAAACTAGTTGTCCCTTTAATCAAACAAATGTTATTTTCTGTTTAATATAGAATAAAAATTCTTAAGTCAATAGGACCAGGTACATCCACCAGTATTTCTCACCATGCAGAGCCATTTGAGAATGTCACATTTTGTAGTTAATTGTACAAAAATATGCTGCTGTATATTATCAGCATTATAGTGAGTATACAGTTATTCCATATTATCAAATTACCAGTAAGGATATCCTCACAAATTACATCTAATACAAAAGAAAACTCAGGATCTTTTCTTTAAAAGATTCTCCAGGATGAATGATATTTCTTATCCAGACCGGAAAGAGGGCAATCTTATTCCCCTAACAACAATCCTAAACAGAACTTTCTGGGTACAAAAAATTAATAGGTAATTCTAGAAAAAGTTCTAGATTATCAGAGGAAATATCAAATATTAGATTAGTTCTAGAACTGTACCCTATGTTGGTAAACAAGCTGCAGGGAAAGTAGGGGAGTTAGCAAATACAGTTTCATGAGGGACTGACTTGTACATGAGATAATAAAATATTTAAAAGATCCTACTTTGATTAATATGAACATCTCACATGTACCAAATCCAAACCATTCCTAGTTAAGAAAGGTATGCTATGGAAAACCAGTCATTTCATATTTTAATTACAAAATTATATTGTGCCATTAAATCTAACTGCATCCAATCTCTACATATAGGATTGTCACTCAATCCCTTCAAAAGACTAAAGGATTTGTCATGACTTTAAATTAAAATGGTGCCCACAGGAATAATTTCCTCCTTTTCTCTTATTGCATTGAAGTTTTGCTTCAGTATATCTGCAGGGCATCTTCATCATAATCAGTGTTGTGTTGTCTCTTTAGTTCATCCCCTCTTCCTTTGATCTCTATGCCTCTGTCTCTCTAGCACACACACTCCTACTTGCTTTAGGAGAAAAACTAATGAAACTGTGATATTCCAAATGTCACTAAACAACAATCTATTCTGACAGCCTTCAATGCAAAATTTCAGCCTTAGTAATTTAGACAGGATTCATGGTGCACCAAGTTCAAAGTCAATGTGTCCCTTTGCTTCCTAAAGTTTCAGAACTGCTTCTGCATGGACTCGTACTTTTGTCTTAATCGATAGGTTCTCACTCCACTACAGACTGGCTAGAACTCTTTTGTTCTATAGAGATGGCCACTTTTCATGATGATGAAATGGTTGATGCATTTTCATTTTTTTATTTTAAAATTATTTATTTTATATATATATATGACTATTTTGCTTGCATTTATGGCTGTGTAGCACATGCACACTTGGTGCTCTGGGAGGCCAGCAGGGTATTAGATACTGTGGATCTGAAGTGACAGAAAGTTGTGAGCTGCCATGTGGGTGCTGAATATTGAACCTGGGTCCTCTGGAAGAGCCACAGGTGCTCTTAACCATGACTGAGCCATCTCTCCAACTTCTATTAATACATCTTAAAAGCCATACACTATTCTTTTGTAAAATCGAAGTTGTCTTTAAGGTCCATCTTTCTTTTTCCAGTGTGTGTAACAAAGATTACAGTTCACTTCACCCTTTACATATTCATTTGCTATATGCTTGTCCTTCGAACGGTCAGTTGAGAGATGGGATCTTTTAGAGATGTGATCAAGTGCAAAAGTCAGTAAGAATGTTGCGTTCTAAAGGGGTATTGTAGTTCTCATTACATCCCAGTTAATATCTCATTGAGAGATAGGTATTACAGAATGACACAGGACCGGGATGATGACTCAGTGTATACAGTACTGTTGTAAGAGTGAGGCCGCGAGTCTGGATTCACAGAACCCATGTAAGAGACAGATGCAATAGTGTGCATCTATTGCAACACAGGAGGTAGAGACAGCAGAATCCCTGGAAAATCTCACAGGCCAGCTAGCATGTTGTACATAGCAGTGAAAAACAAGACTCTGCCTGCAATAAGGTGGAAGGCAAGTAGAGACACCTGACGTTGATCTGCACAAGTCTGCCACTCAGCAAGCATGCATCTATACTCACACAATGTAAAAAGGGGGGGGGGAGACAGAGAGAGAGAGACGAAGACACAGAGTCACAGAGTAACTGAGATGAAGCAAGCTTACTTAGCCCCTGAATGGTTTGCCTCTTGTTATGGTCTTTGCCCTCCCACATATGCACTCACTGTGTTACCATCTGTAATGCTGCAATACAGCCAGAGCTAAACAGATGATCATGTCATGCTCTGGAACCTATAATAATGGGAACTAAATGAATATATTTCTAAATATAGTACCCAGCCTCTAATGTTCTGTGATAACAAGAGGAAGGAAATAGACTAAAATGAAAGGTGACTAATTTTCCCTTACCTAAGAAGTATTTTTGTAACTAATACTTTCTATGGAAAATACTATCTATAGGCATCTTTTCTATGCCTCATTGATATCTATTATAATCACAAAACTTAATGCCAGGTGACAGCAGAGTTCCAGAGCTGACCAACTCCAGAAGACTTACAATTAAACTCATGGATCTCTGCTAATCAGAGGTCGCTATCCAGGGTATGAAAAGGCAAGTTGCAACATGGGAGAAATAGATCAACAGTGAGAACAACCAAAAAAAAAATACTAGTACTTAGAATACTTTTAAAACTTCTAATAATTAACAAACAGCATTTAAAAAATACTGATAACCAAAAAAATGGACAAAAGTCTTATACACATAAAAAGTAGGCAGCATGAACAATCATCAAGTAAGCAGAAATATGTTCAACCTCTTTACTAGCAAAATATAACTTAAAGTATAAAAAAACCCTCAACATATCTGGGTATGATAAACTAAAAAAAACTAACAAAGCCTAGCAACAGTGAGAGTGCACAACAAAACCAGGAATCCTATTATGATGAGAAAGAGCAAGTTAGTATAATTAATGTGGAAAGGAAAGCTCTGGCACTAGCTACTAAAATTTAGTTTGTTTATGATAAATTACCGCAATTCTACTCATAGTAACACTTTCAACATAATCGTAATTATTATGCCAAGAAATATATAAAAGACAGTAATTTTGGTAATCGAAAAAAGCAATGTGACTGTACACCTAACAACAGTAGTATGGATATAATATATAATACTGAACAATTATAAGAATAAATAAAAGCAACGATACATAGAAAATGGGTTAATATCACAAGTGTAACGAACCAAAGAAACTAGACATGCTATAAGTACTGAATGCCTTTTTCCATAAGTTTAAAAGGGGAGAATCCTGAAGATAAAACTAAGAGCACTAAAATACTATATGACATAGTATCGGGCCTTAAGTTTATGTCTAATATATTTTCTGTTGAGTTTTATATAGTTATCCTGGTGACTTTTATATAAACTTGACACAAGCTGGGGTTATCAAAGAGGAGAGAGCTTCAACTGAGAAAATGCATCCTTAATACTGGGCTTTAGGTAAACCTGTCGGGTATTTTTTATTATATTTGTGATTGATCGGGAAGGGTTCAGTCCACTCTAGGTGGGCTTGTTGTGGTTCTGAGTTCTATAAGAAAACAGACTGAACAAGCAACACAGTACAAACCAGGAAGTAGCACTCTTCCATGGCTTCTGTGTCAGTTCCTGTCTTTAGGTTCTGCTCTGTTTGAGCTCCTGTCCTGGCTTCATTTGACGATGAAGCATAAGTCAAATAAACCTTTGTTCCCCGCTTACTCTTGATCATGGTGTTTTGTTACAGCAATAGTAATCCTAACTAGGACAATAGTGAAATATGTGGATCTAGTTTTATTCTTTTGCATGATGATAACAGGTTGATAAGACAATGCATTTTACTACCATGTGTTTTGGGCACTTTGCTGCATATCATTGGCTGTAAGTGCATCAAATTATTTTGGGGCTTCCTGCTTTGGTTCATTGTTTTTGTGGCTGTTTTATGAGGGTATCATTTTTTGGTTACTTTAGTTTGATTTTGTATTCTTTAATCAGTGGAATGTCCTCAACTTTGTTCATCTTGCTCAACTGTTCTGATTATTTAGGGTCTTTTGTTGTTTCATATGAGGTTTAGACTCAGTTTTTTTTCCATTTTTTTTCCTTTTAGGTTTATCATTTCCTCAATTATTACCTCTGAACATGACTGAAACTAGGAAACCTATGGAGCGGAAGTGTCAGTTAGGATGTTTAATACAGGAAAGCACAAGATTACCTTTAAAATATAGATCTTCATGTCAGTATTGCTTGGTTGGGTTTGTCTCCATATTTCTGCTAAGTGAGCATCTGAATAAATTAGTTGACAAATTTATATACAAAGAAAGACATTGCAAATGTCAGAGATGGTAAGAGGATAGAGCCATAGAAGCTAAGGCAGAAATTAAATAAACTGAGCACCCGAGACTCCTAAATTATTGAGGAAAAAGTCATTTAATAATTTGTTTTCATAGTAAGTAATTACATTCTGTTCCTTTAGTCTCCAACTGGACATTAGTTTTTGGAATAACTTTGAATATGGCAACAGAAAATAAAAATCATCTGCAAGATGAAGCATTTTTAAAGAGGCATTGAAAAAATCAAAGATTAGCCTCATTTCTTTTTTTAAGAGACAGCAATTCTAAGATGTAATTCTCTTAAAACTAAATTTGCTGAGGTTGGATAATTATGTATTTAGTTGTACTTCCTGTCCTATATTTAAGTCCTATATACATGTCCTGACTACTTTAGCTAACAAAGAACAGTCTCTCTCACATTGGTCTTCTTTGAGTAAGCATTCACAAACAGTATAAAACCTACAGCTCCCAGGAATAAATGGTTATTAGTCACTACTAACATATAATGAGTATCAACTATTGTTGGCCATATCTGAGCTGATTATAAAGTACAAGCAGAGAAGGGATGGGTTTGGCTCTGCCTGACACATTTGGATACAGAAACTCCATAATTAAATTCAGGGAGAGAAAACC